GGACGACATGTCGGAGACAGTAAGCTCGTCGGAGCAGGAGGTGGCGGGCCCAGAGGAGAAGTTCTCGATGAAGCCAGTGGCCAAGCAGTACGGGGAGCTGATCCAGAAGGACATCAGGGACGCCCCAGCCTGCGACTACCTCGATTGGAAGTACCAGCTCAAGTCGGCGAAGATCGACGAGTTGGTCAAGGTGTGCCTCTCGCGCGAGGAGTTTGAGGAGAAGCTCCAGGCATGGGAGGACAACCTGTGAGCTCTGCGGCCAGCACGGGTGCGAGGTCCGCGGGTAGTCGTAGCCTTGTGGACCCCTTTGCCCTCGGGGGTTGTGCGCGGTGCGAAGATTACTGCGCTTCTCCTGGGGGCGGGTCCTGGTCGCGCCGTGGGGCGCAGTGCAAGCACTATTTGGCGTGGCGCGGAGGCCCGTGCCCTCTTGCGCCCGCCCGCAGTAAGGACGGGACACTGGTCCCCAGTGGGTTATCCTCGGTTATCCTCCTCGTCCTCCTGCTCATCCGCCTCCTCCTCCTCCTGCTCCTCCTCCTCCGCCTCCTCCTCCTCCTACCCCTCTTTCCACCTCCTCCTCCTCCTCCTCCTCCTCCTCCTCCTCCTCACTCCGCTCCTCCTCCTCCTCCTCCTCCTCCTCCTCCTCTTCCTCCTTTTCCTCCTCATGTCCTTCCTCCTCCCACTTCTTCTTCCCTTTTCTCCTCCTCCTCCTCTTCCCACCTTCAACTCTCCCCTCCTCTTCTCCTTCTCCTCCTCATCTACTCCTTCTCCTTTCCCGTCTACTCTCTCCTTCTCATCCGTCTCCTCCTCTCTCCTCTTCCCTTTCTCGTCGCTCCTCCCCCTCCCCCCTCGTTTTCCTCCTCCTCCTCCTCCTCCTCCCCCAATCTCATCATCATCATCAGCATCATCGTCATAATCATCATCATCACAATCATCATCATCAGATCATCATCATCACATATTCATCAGCATCACCATCATCATCATTCCCGCATTATCCTCTTGTTTTTCCTCCTCTCCGCCTCCTCCTTCCTCCTTCTCCTTCTTCTCCTCCTTCTCCTCCTCCCCTTCCATCCTTCCTCCTCCCGCTCCCCTTCCCTCTCCTCCTCCTCCTTCCTACCTCCTCCTCCTCCTCCTTTCTCCTCCTCCTCTTCCTCATATTTCCCCTCCTCCTCCTCCTCCTCCTCCTCCTCCTCCTCCTCCTCCTCCTCCTCCTCCTCCTCCTCCTTCTCCTCGTCTCTTCCAGGTCTCCCTGGGACTTTTTCGGGGGCATTTTGGGCGCCGTTTCGGGGCTTGCTGGCAGTCTCGGGGACACCATATGTCCATTCTAGATCCCCCGTTGGGGGGCCGGTCTTGGGACCGTCGTGGTGGCTTTTTGGACCTCTCGGGAGCTGGGGGGACATTTTGGAGCGATGTCGTGGGCCTCATGGGCTCATGGGCCGTCTCTCATGCTCTCAAGACAGACCGAGATGTCACACAACACGTGCGAAAGCCGAATTGCGATTTGAATGAGTTGCGCCCTTCAGGCCAGCCCAGAGGGCCCCCAAGATGCTTCGAGATGCTCCAAGAGTGCCCCAGGACGATCCCTTCGTGCTTTCCCAGGGCGTGCTGAAAGGTAGAGTCCCAACTGCGCGTCTGGGGCCTCTGGGCGAGTCGCGCCGCGAAGTCTGGAAGCGCCCGGGGGCGCCCAGCAGCGCCCCCAGAAACCCCTGGAACTCGGGGGGGCCGGTGCCGCGCGGCACGGTGGCGGACAACATGTGCTTCGGCGTATTCCCGTTCCCGCAGGCCTTCTGCCACGACACCGCGTGCATGGAGAAGGCCATCCTGCTCGGCCTGCCCGCGCGGTGCCTGCAGGACGGCAGCGGGGAGGCCGCCTTCATAGCGCCGCAGCTGCAGCGCTGCAAGGCCGCCCGCTGCACCGTGGAGCAGGCCCTGGCGCACTGGTACCTGCAGGAGGAGGCCACGGCGAGCGCGGCGCCGGCGAAGGCCGGCAGGTCGCCCCGCGGGAGCGCCGCGACGACCGCCGTCGGCCTCGAGGGCGACTCCGAGCGGAAGGCCTCGAGGACGGAGTCCGCGCTCGGCCTCGAGCAGGGCGTCGAGCGGATCGCCTCGGGGACGGAGTCCACGCGGAGCTGCGGCAGCACGCCCAGCCCCCTGAGCGGGGGCGACGGGCCCTGGAGCGTCTGAGGCACCGAGCGGGCCGCTGGGCGCCCCGCGGCGGGCTCCTGGGCCCGCGGGGGCTGCGGGAGGGGGGGGGGGGCGGGGAGGAGCGGGCCGAGCAGCGGAGCGAGAGCGCGGAGGCAGCGCGCTGGGGCCCCACGGCAGTCTCCGCGCTCGCCGAAGACAAGGAGCAGGGTTGGTCTGAGCCACCCGAGGGGGGGTGGAGGAGGAGGGTGGCGGAGGCCAGAGGGCGGAGGATGAGGCGGGGAAAGAGGAGGGCGGAGGAGGAGGAGGAGGAGGAGGAGGAATCAGCGCAAGCTAGCCGCCCAGAGAGTTGCGATTGCTTATTCTATGTATACTGTTAAGAAGGCTGCGATCGCCACACCGATCGCCGAGTGTGCGAGGGCAGCTCGTGCCCAATTGCTCCAACAGTTTAAGGAAGAGGACTAATCGAACTTCATTCCGAGCTACGTGCGAGGAGGAGGAGGAGGAGGAGGAGGAGGAGGAGGAGGAGGAGGGTAGAGGCTGGAGGGGGAGGAGGAGGAGGAGGAGGAGGAGGAGGAAGAAGAAAAGGAAGAGGAGGGCGGAGGTCGGCGGAGGAGGGAGGAAGAGGAGGAGGGGGAGGAGGAGGAGGAGGAGGAAGAGGAGGGAGGGGGAGGAGGAGGAGGAGGAGGAGGAGAGGAGGAGGAGGAGGAGGAGGGGGAGGGGGAAGAGGAGGAGGAGGAGGAGGAGGAGGAGGAGGAGGAGGAGGAGGAGGAGGAGGAGGAGGGGAGGGAGGAGGAGGAGGAGGAGGAGGAGGAGGAGGAGGAGGAGGAGGAGAAGGAGGACGAGGAGGAGGAGTTGCATGAGGAGGAGGAGCAGGAGGACGAGGACGAGGACGAGGAGGAGGAGGCCCTCGCGACGTCCCTTGCAGGCCGAAGACCCCAAATTCGCTTCTTCGGGCCCTTCGGAAGGTCGCGCCTTCCTGGGCTCCCCGCGGCGCCCCTCGGAACGAGGCCGGCGGCCGCGGGCCCAGCCGCATCTGCTCGGACGGGGCCAGGCCGAAGATACAGTCGGACCGAGGTCTAGGATCGAGGTTGGTTCGGGGAGGGTGCTCTACTGCTCTTCGTGTCTGCTGGATGTTTCCTGTGCATCCTGGGGGAGGGCACCCCCGAAGGTTCGTCGGTTTGGGCCGGCGGAGGGTCTCGTGCTCTTGAAGGAGGAGGAGGAGGAGGAGGAGGAGGAGGAGGAGGAGGAGGAGGAGGAGGAGGAGGAGGTTGGTCCGCCCCAGGTCCGACTGGAAGTCCGTTCCGGAGTGCTCCAGAACGCTCTCGGACCGTTCCAGAGCGCTTCGAGAGGGTCGTGGCGCCCAAGACATCCTCCAAAGCCGCCGGCTCTCAGAGACTCTCGGTTCATCCTCGCCCGAATTTTCCCTCGCCCTGGCTCCGTCTTATCTGCTCATATCGTTGGGGGGGGGAGGCCTCACGGCCACTCGAAGGAGTGGCCGGCAGGCCTACCTCCCAGGCCGATCGGCCTGCCCGCTGGAGGCCGGGGATCTTTCTTTCTGGGGAGGCTTGGCGAGGGCCGCCTGCACGTGGGAGCGACCCTTCGCCGGCGTGGTCTGTGGTGCGGGCCCACGGCTCAGGCCGCCCGGATGGGGTCGGAGCAGACGGGGTCGGAGGATCGCGCCGCGTCGCCGATGCGGCTCGATGCGGGGCCGGATGCGCTTTGCGTCGACGACGCCGGTTCATCTCCGACGTCGGCGATTCAACGCTGGTGCAACCCTGATGCATCGCCGATGCATCGGCGATGCATCGGCGATGCGTCGCGATTCTCCGACCCCATCTACTCCGACCCCATCGAGGAGGCCTCTGCACGGGGGATCCCCGATCGCTGCACAAGATGCGACAGCGGCGGGCGGCTGGCTCGCGTGGCGTTCGCCCCCTCGCGCCCTCCCTAGGGCCGCGCACCAAAGTCGGGAGGGGAAAAAACACACGGACACAATGAATCGCCGACTCCCAGGAAAAGATGGGAAACTATGGGAAGTGGAGGGGAAGACAGAAGCCCAGAAACTATGAGAAAATATGGGGAATCTTTTTACGTGTGTGTGTATTTATGTGTGTGTCGTGGGGCCCCTTCACAAAGGCCACCCTTGCCTACGGCAGGGTCCGCGCCGCGTCGACCGGCGGCGACCCCGCCGCGGGTGCTCTCAATGGGTCGGTCGCCGCGGGTGGCCCGGGATCGGCCTGCGCGGAACGATCGGGCGATCGGCAGAAGCCGCCGATCGCTCCGGGTGGAACGATCGGCGCGGTGTCGGAAGTGTTTTGAGGAGGAGGAGGAGGAGGAGGAGGAGGAGGAGGAGGAGGAGGAGGAGGAGGAGGAGCCCAGACCCCCGACGTCGTGCTGTTGTCACAGCGCCGACCCCCAGAGGTCTGGACCCCTTTCCCGCGGGACCGGCTGTTCCTCCTGCGTCGTGTCTGGACGCTCCCGGGGCCCGGTCGGGGCCCCCAGAAGCCGAAAATCGTGATCTGGGCGCAGGCTTCCTCCTCCTCCTCCTCCTCCTCCTCCTCCTCCTCCTCCCTCTTCCTCCTCCTCCCTTCCTCCTCCCTCCTCTCCTTCCTTCCTCCCCTCCTCCTCCCTCCTCCTCCTCCTCCTCCTCCTCCTCCTCCTCCTCCTCCCGCCCTCCTCCTCCTCCCGTCCTCCTCTAGTCGCAAATGCGTATTTCTAATGGTTCTTCCAAAGCTCCCCTGTAGGAGGACATGCCCGACATAGGCCTGGCGTGCGGGGCCCAAATGTATACACCACCACCGCCTCCCTCATCCCCTCCCTCTCCCAGGAAAGAGGGGGGGAAGATGAGGATGGAGGAGGGAGAGGGAATGGAGGTGGTGGTGGCGTATACTATTGGGGCCTGCATGGCGCGGCACCGCCCGTAGACGCAGTGGTGCCAGCCTCGGGGTGTCCCGACTCGCGAGGGTTCGGTCTGCGGCGCGTGCTGCGGAGGGCGCCAGCGATGTGCCCTGCCTCTGCACAAATCCTGGCCACGCCCCTCCTGGGCCCAAGACCGGCGCGATGGGCCAATGCCCAACCACCAGTACCATAGGTAGGACGGGCTAGGTCCTCCTCTTCCTCCTCCTCCTTCTCCTCCTCCTCCTTTTCCTCCTCCTCCTCCTTATCCTCCTCCTCCTCCTCCTCCTGCTCCTCCTCCTCCTCCTCCTCCTCCTCCTCCTCCCCCGCCTCCTCCTCCTCCTCCTCCTCCTCCTCCTCCTCCTCCTCCTCCTCCTCCTCCTCCTCCTCCTCCTCCTCCTCCTCCTACAGCCGCCATCTCCGCCCAAACCCACATTCCCACAGCGGCGGCGACCCCCAATCTCCCGAGACTTAGCGTTCATTCCACCTTCCTCCCTGCCATGCTCGGCCTCTGATGCATTGGGCGAGCCTGATCGGGGGGCTGATGGTGGGCGTCCTGCGCGTGGCCCTCTACAACCCTCTCTCACTCATCGCCGCAGGCCGACTGCGGGAGATCGCGGGGTCCCTGAAATCCAACATCATAGTGTTGCCAGGGACGAGAGTGAGAGAGTGGGACGGACGAGAGGTATCATACAGAAGACATCGCAAACAAACACGTTACACTGTACATGTTGGATGGCATCGAACACCACCAAATAAACAACAGCGCTGGATTGTGTATCACCCTAGGCCGTCATCTTAAACGTCAGCACATATGTGCAGTAGGACCTGGAACACATGGACTGTTGGGAAGGCATGGGCAGATACAACGAAAGAGTGATAATTCAATATTGCAGAGAGATGTGCATGTCCCACCTACAATATACGCGCCAGGGACAAACAACAACAATCCCAACTATAAGTAGCAAAACGGTGTTAAACTATGCTAGACATCGGTTGGAACAAACGAGCGCCAGAAGTACACCAGTCTGTGGACTAGATCTTAACTCAGACCTTGGTGTTTGGATGTATTTGGGAAGACGGCTCTCTCGCGGACCCCGATCAGAACCTCATTGGGCCCACCATGTTCAAAAGAATTGGCCATGCAGGATAAATATTCACACGCATGCCCCTCGACCTCGACTTCGTGAGCCCAGGCGTGCAACGAATGTCAGCACACAGGCAACTACTACGACACATGGATGGGGACAGTGCGCAAGATCGGACTGACACTTGTCGGCGTTCAGCTCAGCTCGAAGAACACGGCCGAAGACCGATTGCAGCAATGACGTCCTTCCCTTGCCAAACAAGAACAGGATATCGAATGGAGGCAGCACTATATCATGATATGTCTGGACATATACCAGAGTGCGACGGTGCGCATCTTGAAGTACTATGTCGCATCAAGCGCACCCCCGCTCAATTCAGACGATGGGCACGCCGACGACGGGCCACACACAGAGACAGATTGCATCAGGAACTTCGGTGGGTAAGCGCACTGGGACAACAAGCCGAGGTTCACATTTATATATATACATATATATACATATATATGTATACATTGGCATGCCCCTTCTCAGGCACATCCACTGGAGCGAGGAACAGAAGGCGCAATGCCATCGCCTCCTACAAGCCGACGCTCGACGAGCTCAAGGGCCGCCTGCCCAAAGAGGAAAACGGCGGCGGCGTGGGGGCGACGCGCGCCCCCGACATGAAGGCCATGCTGGGCGACTTTCTTGCCGAAGAAGATATTGCACGTATCCGAACCATCGGCATTGACATATCGGCGTCGGTCATGTTGCGACAGGCGATCTGGAGATCGAGGCGAGCGCTTGGCAGACGCTGTCGACCAGGGTGGAGCGTTCCCTTCAGCGCTGGCACTCGCAGTGCTAGATCCTGGACACCTATCTAGATAACGATGTGCAAAGTTCGGACTGGGGCATGGCAGTGCGCGCGCACCTCAAGCTCCCATCCAGGACTTGGACTTCAGCGGAACGGCATGGAATCAGAACGTGGGCGACCGACCTGGTACATCGACAGGAGCTCCTACAGACACACGCTGGAACGACATGGACGAGGCTTGCGCCGACCCCTTCCGCGACCTGGAGAACGAGTGCGAGCTGCGCCCAGCGGCCGAACCACCCGCGAACCATGGGAGGCTCCAACGTCGACGCCAAATACGACGCGAGCTGGACCTCAGAAAGCACCGGATGGACGGGGCCACAGACTAGAATCCACAGCTGACCCCAATCGCGAGAGTGGAGATAGATACTAATTTGATTCGTGATTTACGGTTGGCCAGCTACCGGCCGAGCCCAGCATCGCAGAATGAGTGCCACTCGACAAATCGAATGGCAAGCCGAAGATGTTCAGCCAGAGAATAGTGCACTTTTCATATGTCGTCTGGAATCATTGGCACGCATAATTGCGCAGTTTTTTGTTTGGGGGGGCGGGGGGGGCGCGTGGCAGATCTTTCGCTGGAAGATGGCATGGTTATCTAAGATGTCGGAGAAGGGTGGGGGCTATGTTAGCGCGGCCGCGAATGGGGCGGTCGCCCAGACGAACCAGCATCTCGCGCGCTTGCGAGCTACATGGCATGACGAAGGCTCGTCTGTGCCCATCCCTTGCAGCGCTCGCAAACCTAGCTGAGATCACGGCGCGCGGGGACCTCCGAGATCCCGCGAAGCGGCGCCTGACCAACGGCGCAGTTCTAACCGGGGTAGAGAACGAGTCCGTCGACGAGTGCTACGACGAAATCGACGAAAACGACGGGCCCCCTATTTATTTATCTGAAGTTTTTGGAAGCCCAGCTACGACTATTCGCTGGTAGGTTTCGCAGACGCTGTATTTCGGCAGCGAGTCTTTAACATATTCCTCGGTGTCTGGGGCTAGAGGCAATCAAAACAGGCGACGCTATCATGCATGAAATATTGGGAAAGTGGCGCTTCCTCAATGTGCAGACCAAGTACAGAATGCCATGTTTGGGATCCACAAGGGCCAATCGTCGCCCTCTGGAGAGTTGCCCAGAGCCCCGCGGCACGGCGCGTAGTCACGCAAGGCATCTGGGAGCACGCCACCACGTGAGCGGCTCGAGCGCTCCCGAGGTGCAGTGCCGGATCCGCTCCATGCACGCAGGCTGGACCGCCATCGGGCAGACTCGTGGAACATGGCGCCACAGGCCTGGTCCTAAAACCAGCAGGATATCGAAGAGTTGATTTCTGCTCTGCGAAGTATCTACGAGTTATGATGCGTGGCGTTGCCATTTCTTGCGGCGGGCCTCGCGTTTGCTCACTTCAGAGTTCGGGGGTGCTCTGCAGATTTCGCGCCCTCCCGGCTCGGGGGAAACTGGCGGCGCGCGGCGCGCGGCGACTCCAGGGCATGTTCGTGCGCCGCCGCGCCCGCCCACAGACAATTGCGGCGATTTTCTGTCGCTTGCAGCTGGAGCGACCCACGCTGCAAACACATGGGCAGCTCAGCCCAGACGCGGGACCATGGGTGACAGAGTTCCATTACAGCTTGCAAGTATATCGGGGAGCCAGTGGCACCGAGAGTTTCGTCGAGTCGCGGAAGGAGGCAGGATGGCATTGGCAGGCATTGTCAGACCCCGAGTCCAATTCACTCAAAGAGTTCATCCGGATCGGCCCCTGGGCCCTTCGAGCGGCAGCCTTCGCGAACAGCGAAAAATGGTGCCCCCTATTTTCCGAAGCGCATAATCCTGAATCCGAAAGCGAGCACATATGCGCACGCATGACCACGGACCCTGAGGGCACCCCACGTGGCCCACAGCACAGCACTTACCGAACTCTCATGGGGCAGCAACCACACGGACACAACATGAAATACATCTTACATAGTGGCACCATATCAAACCAATGTCCGACTTGTATGAGCGCGTCCAAATCTGTACAGAACGCATGCAAACAGATTCAACCATCGCATGGACATGGCAGATGCATCATGGGGAGGTATCGTATGTCTTTGGGGCCCGAACAGAAGGATGACTGGATATGCCCGCCCTGCCCGACGGAATCATCGGTAGTCTTCTCATCGAGCCACCCGCCCTTCGGAAACCTCCGAGGCCAGCGCTCCCCCAAGCCTTCGCCATCCCATTCATCATGCCCGGCGACCTGGCGGCCGCAAGCAACCGGGGGAACGTCGGCCGCAGTGGGGCCGACGGGGGTCAGGGCCAGAGGGGGCGACGCAGAGTCGACGGCGGCGCAGCAGAGCACTCCAAACAAGTGGCCAAACATATCCCCGACAAGCAGAACAAAAGCTCTCCGCGCTCGTGATGAGGCAGATCTTGAAGCTCAGCCAGCTGCGCCGGGACATCTCTGGAGTCGTCGTCGACGCGCTCGTGCTGCCCATGGCCGTGGCCATAATCGCGATGATGAGCGACCAGACCGTCGCCTACGCCGCCGAAACCAAAGCCAAAGGCAAGGGGCACGACCTCGGCCCGCCGCACATATGCACGTATGGGCATTCGGCGGCCTGCTCAAGGGTCTCCACAGCCTCGGCGACACCATCGGAGCAGCGAGCCAGCAGGCAGCGGCGCAGGCCTGGTCGGACTACGACGGATACACAGCCGGGCAGAAGTGCGAGCTAATTCTATTTTGCCGCCAGGACAGAGTTTACCAGAACGGCGCAGGATCGCCCTCTCGATCAGAGATTGGTCCTCCGCGCCATCCTAATCAAGTCGATGGAGCAGATCCCGCAATGCACGAAGAAGTTCGGCAAGGCCCCAGCTACGCATTTGGGGCGGGAGATCCAGACCTTTTTGGAGGCTCTATTGAAATAGTAACTGATGACATCCAGATGCTCACAGACTCGGACCACATACCGGACATGAAAAAAGCTATCAAAAGTGGGAACGGCATGAGTACACACATCGATGTTATGGATATTCGTTTTGTTACAAATCCACATGTTCCAGCTCCAGGTAGCGGCTCATTCTCCAGGGTGAATTTCCTCTCTTTGGCGACGCTTCCTCTCCAACGGGCACCGCGCCTACTACGACGGGAGCAGGTGCGGCATCATCTTCGACTAGGCCCGTGAACCCCTCTGAGCCCCTGCGCCTCCCACCTGCATCGCCTGACGCCCGCCTGCATCGTCTACTCTTCTCTTCCCCGAATCTCCTGTCGCCCCGAGCTCTGAGCCCTGTGAGCCTCCTCCTCCTCCTCCTCCTCCTCCTCCTCCTCCTCCTCCTCCTCTTCATCCTCATCCTCATCCTCATCCTCCTCCTCCCCAGCAGTCGGGCAAACAATTCATTGCTGAATACTTGGCCTCTCGAGGGATCGACCCATTGACCCAGAGGTTTGCCAGCTTAGCGAGTAGCGTTCACATCCTTCCTTTTGCCAGGCAAGCTCGGCCCGACTGACCCCACCCCAGCTCCCTGTGGCTACCCTATGCGTCGGTTGCTGCAGGGGTCAGGACGGCCCTTGGCCGCGCCACGTCTGCGGCCCCGGTGCGTTGACCCTGGCAAGATGCACGCACTCCCGAGGTTCACCACGCCAGTTGCCTCTAGTCAGTTGTGCACGTTGCGTGGCCCATTATTGCGCGCTTTTGTTATTCGATGAGTGCAGCACTTATTGGACAATATCATGACATGGCGTCAAGGGTGTGCGTATCGTGTCGTATCGTATCGTATCGTATCGTATCGTATCGTATCCTCCTCCTCCTCCTCCTCCTCCTCCTCCTCCTCCTCCTCCTCCTCCTCCTCCTCCTCCTCCTCCTCCTCCTCCTCCTTTCCAACCTATGGTAGCGGTGGTGGAAAAGCGGCCCATCAAGGAGGGCGCATGCGCCGATTCTGGGCCCAGGATGTGCCTGGCCAGCATCGGCGTCGGCGCGTAGCTGACGCCCTTATATTTTTTGTTGGCGCGGTGGCCAGGAACCTTGCTAAGGGGAGGAACGGGCACCCATACCGCTACATTGACGTCGACTTCCCCTTCTTGGGCCTTTTGGAAGGCCCCTTTTCACCACCACTGGATTCGCCTCGGAATTCCGGTCAGAGAGCACCCTGTGAGAGGTCCGGGGTGTAGCGGTATCGGTACCTTTTGGTTTCCCCCCTTTGCTCTGCTGGTAAGGCTTGCCGATCTGGGTGCATGAACCGAATTCAACTCGTAGGACTGTCCGGAATTGGGCGAGGATGACTAGTGCGAACCGAAGGCGCATCAACGGTGCTGCAATACGCACTCCCTGCATCCCGTTTTCACACTCTCCTGCAATCACATGTTTTCGATGCGGGGCGGGAGCCGCCCCTTGGAAGACAACCGTATGAGAATCTTGAATCGAACCAAAAAACAGCTCCTGGGACATCACCGCCGCGAATCACAATGACAATTGCGCCCTGACAGTCCCCAATCGTGCCAGACCGCAGTTCCCAGGACTTCAGCGTCCTGGTCACCCCAAATTGTCCCCAAACAGAGCTCTTGGGACTTCAACCATACGAATATTCGAAATTGTTGCAAATATCTGAGATTAAGGTTCGCGGCGCTAACGCGGGAACCGTATTAAAAAAAGTGTCCGCCCTCGATCCTTGAAAGTGTTGCAAGATTTTACGACCAATGGGCGCGGCGCTGAAGCGAGAACGACAGTTTGAAAACGAAACGTCCTCCATCTTTGAAAGTGCTGCAAGCTTTAAAGACGGATGCGCGCGGCGCTAAGGCGAGATCCGCATTTTGAAAACGAGTCGCCATCCATTCGTGAAGCTGCTGCACATTCCAGGCTTCGGAATCATACATGGTGAGGAGGTCTCAGGCGAAACGCCTGGCCCGCCCTAGGGACACGTCTGGGGGTGCGACAGAGAGGAGCTATCTATTGGAGATGCCTTACGGCCGGTGCCGCCAACTCTGAACGACGACAACGACAACGATGTTGACGTGGGTCAGAGTCCTCAGGGATGTTTTTGGGGGGCCTCGTGGGGGCCTCGTGAGGGCCTTTGGGAGGCTCCTGGGGGCCTCTTGGGGCTTCCCGAGCGCATTTTTGGGGCGTCTTCGGGGCGTCTTGGGGGCTTGTTGGCGTTTCCTGGGAGCCTTTCAGGCCGAGGGCTCGAAATGTCTGGTCGGGTCCCCCGTTTGGGCACTCTTGGATCCATCTTGGGGACCTCTTGGGCCGTCTTAGAGGCCTCTTGGGCCGTCTTGGGGCCCTCTCGGGTTGTTTTGGAGCCTGCTCGAGCGCCTCTTGGGCTAGTTGGGGCGATCTTGGTGGTCTCTTGGGCCGTCTTAGAGCGTCGAAAAGCAGAAAAGGCGAGAATCTCAAAATCTATCAAAACTGTTGGAAAATTAATCATGTCTGTCTCTTGGGGCCCTCTTGGGAGTGCTCCTGGAGGGCTCTTGGGGCGTCCTGGAAACCTCTTGGGCCATTTGAAGGCTACTTTGGCGTCTTGGACCGATAGTTCGGCGATTCGGGGCCCTCTTGGACCGTCTTGGGGGCCTCTTGGGGCAGACTTGGTTCGTCTTGGGAGGTTCTGGGCGTTGAGACACCCTGGGGGGGGGGGGGGGGGGGGGGGGGGGGCATCTGACCTGGGACCCCCCCCCCCCCCCGGGACCCCTGGGACCCCCCGCCCCCCGGCGAGGAAGGGATCAAGGGAAGGGGCTTCCCCTCGAGTGAATTACGACGCTCGTTGTTGTCGTGTTGGCCAGCACGCCTGACGTGGAAGGCCCACGACAAGGGAGGCAGCGGCCGGCGCGCTGGAGAAGGAGACCCAGGAGACGGCTTGGAATGGCGACGGCGACGACGACAACGACAATGACGACGACGACGATGACGACGACGACGACGACGACGACGACGACGACGACGACGACGACGACAAGGAGACGACGAATGAAATAGCGACGAACGAAGGAACCTCTTCCACACGCCGACAGGATCGGCGGATTACCAGACAAAGGGATGTAGGAGAAGGAGGAGGAGGAGGAGGAGGAGGCGGGGGGAGGACGAAGGAGGAGGAGGAGGAGGAGGAGGAAAGGAGGAGGAGGAGGGAGAACGAGGAGGAGCAGAAGGAGGAGGAGGAGGAGGAGGAGGACGAGGAGGAGGAGGAGGAGGTGGAGGAGGCGGAGGAGGAGGCGTTGGAGGAGGAGGATGAGGAGGAGGAGGACGAAGAGGAGGAGGAGGAGGAGGCGGCGGAGGAGGCGTTGGAGGATGAGGATGAGGAGGAGGAAGAAGAGGAGGAGGAGGAGGAGGAGGAGGAGAAGGGCGGAGGAGGAGGAGGAGGAGGAGGAGGACGGGTCGCGTTTTTTTCCCCCGAAATGGCTTAGGCCCAGGGTTCTCTTTTAGCTTTGCTTCCCCCCGGTTTCGACGGCTGTAGGGCCGGCGATATTTCCGCTCGATACAAAAAAAGGAAAGTCCAATTCGGCGTGAACAAAAATGCGTTTCGCGCCTGCCCGCTCAAGGAAAGTCGACCCCCCACCTCGGATCCTCGATAAATAAAGTGGTCCGCGGGTCCCCGTTTTCCTCTATAAAAATCCAGGTGCAATCGAATTCGGCGCGGGAAGTACGTTTCGTGCGTGCCCGCTCGAGAAAAGTCGACCCCATCTCTGATCCTCGATAAATAACGGCGTCCGCGGACCCCCGTTTCCTTTTATACAAGGTGAAGTCCAACGCGGCGCGGAAAGCTTGAAAATATTGAGTTCTTGCGTGCCCGCTCGAGGATGGTGCGCCCCCCGCGCAACAAAAATCGAGGATGTCTCGAGCGAAACGCTTGTGTTGCAAAACTTGAGGGGCCTGGGCGCCCCAGCATGCCCCAGGAGGCCCTGGGAGCGCGGACGCGGCGTAATCTACCAGGGATCGTGGCGTTTGGAGCGCGGACCACGCGTAATTTGCAGGGGATCGTGGCCCTCGGAGCGCGGGCGCAGCATAATTTACGAGGGGGCGGGGCCTGGGGAGCTCGGACGCAATGTACTTTACAAGGGATCGTGGCCCTTGGAGCGCCGGCGCAGCGTAAATTACGAGGGATCGGGGCCCTGGGGGCTCCGACGCCGCGTAGTTGACGAGGGATCGGGCCCTGGGAGCGCGGACGCAGCGTGATTTACAGGGGGTCGGTGCGACCCCAATGTAATTTAATGGAGGATGACGATTAATAACTGACCGGGGGTCGTGTTCACGCGGCAGCGCCCGGGATGACGATTAGAAAACACCGGCCGCGGGCTGGAAACCTGTTTTAAAGGATCGTTCTCCTCCAAGCAGAAACTTGTGCAGAAACAGCAGAAAACTGTTTGTTTTTTAATCGTTCTCTCTGAGTTTTTAAATTAATCGTCATCCCGCATTACGAGGGATCGTGGCCCTGGGAGCGCGGACGCAGCGTAATTGACGAGGGATCGTGGCCCTGGGAGCGAGGCCCCAGTGTAGTGCACGAGGGGTCGCGGCAGCGGGAGCGCGGACCCTGCGAAATTGGCAAAGGATCGTGGCCCTGGGAGCGCGGACGCAGCGTAAATAACATGGAGCGCGGACGCCAGGCTCCTCCTCCTCCTCCTCCTCCTCCTCCTCCTCCTCCTCCTCCTCCTCCTCCTCCTCCTCCTCCTCCTCCCCGGGCCTGCGGCGGCACGGCGGGCTGCCGCAGCGTAATTTGCAAAGGAGCGCGGACGCAGCGTAAATAACATGGGATCGTGGCCCTCGGAGTGCGGGCGCAGCGTAATTTACGAGGGGTCGGGGCCCTGGCAGCGCGACCCCAGCGTAATCTACGAGGGATCGGGGCCCTTGGAGCGCGGGCGCGGTGTGAATTGTTGAGCTTCGTGGCCCCAGGAATGCGGACGCAGCGTAATTTATGAGGGGTCGTGGCAGCTGGAGCGGGGGCGCAGCGTGATTTCGGACCTCGTCTCGGTTGGTACTGCTTCGGTTCGTCCTGTCTCAGTTCGTCGTGTCTCGGTGTGCCGCGTTTCGGTCCGTCCTTGCTCGGTGCGTTCCGTCTTTCTTTGGATTCGCCCCCTCTCGGTTCGTCCCGTTTCATAATTGAGTCGGAACTTGAGCTCGGCAGCACGGCACAACGCGGCGCAGGACAGCGCGCATTGTTGGCACGTCTATTTCGTGGGGTGGTTTCTGGGATGTTTCGTGGAGTGTGTCGTGGGGTGTTTCGTGGGGTGTTTCGTTTGGTGATTCTTGGGGTATTTCGTGGCTGTTCGTTGGGTGTTTCGTCAAGTGTTTCCTAGCGTGCTTCGTTGAGTGTTTCTTGGGGTGTGTCGCGGGCTGCTTCGTAGGGCGTTTCGTGGGCTGTTTCGCGTTTCGTTTCGTCCAGCATTTCGCAGCACGGCACAGCGCAGCGCAGCTTCTGGCACGGTGCCATCACCATCGATATCAGAGTGAGGGGGCTGAACCGAACGGTCATTCACTGTCCCTGGGTGCGTGGCTGAAGTGGAATTCCGCGATGCGGATTCTTCTTGGTGTTGTTGTTGTCGTCGTCCCACCCGCGACCCGCCCCGCGACCCACCCGCGACCCACCCCGCGACCCACCCTGCGACCCACCCGCGACCCACCCTCGACCCACCCGCGACCCACCCCGCGACCCGCCCGCGACCCACCCCGAGACCCCCCCAGCGACCCACCCGCGACCCACCGGCGACCCACCCGCGACCCACCGGCGACCCTCCCCGCGACCCACCCGCGACCCACCCGCGACCCACCCGCGACCCACCCGCGACCCACCCGCGACCCACCCCGCGACCCACCCAAAATTTTAGGCGCCTGCGGCGGGTTTCTTTTTCATCCGTTCCAGGTGGAGAACCTGCGACCCATCCGCGACCCAAACCGCGCCCGCGACCCACATGCGACCCACCGCGACCCACCCGCGACCCACCCGCGACCCACCCCGCGACCCACCCAAAATTTTCGGCGCTTGCGGCGGGCTTCTTTTGGATTCGTTCCAGGTGGAGAACCTGCGACCCACCCGCGACCCAAACCGCGTTCAGTGTACAAATCAAAATTTTCGGCGCCTGCGGCGGGCTGTTTTGAATTCCTTCCAGATGGAGGTGGAGAGCCCGCGACCCACCCGCGACCCAAACTATGTTCATTGAACAAGCCAAAACTTCGGCGCCTGCGGCGGGCTGTTTTTGCATTCGTTCCGACTGGCCCACCAGCGATCCCCCCCGCGCTGAACTTGTCAGAGCACGACGGCGACGATGAGGATGAGGACGCGGACGAGGAAGAGGAGGAGGAAGAAGAGGAGGAGGAGGAGCAGGAGGAGGAGGAGGAGGAGGGCGCCATCGACAGGGAAGGTGAAAGCCAGGAGGTCCGCCGGCTCGACGCCCGCGTCGCCCGCGCCCGCCCCCTCATTCTCATCCGCAATTGCGGGGTACTGCGTATTCATCATTGCTACTGCCCATCGCCCAATCCAGGTGTCTCGAAACGTTTCCATGCTTCACATGCCTATCTCCCTTTCCGGATTCGTGGGTCCAGCATGTCTCCGTGGCCTTTGACGCGGCCGCCGCAGGACCCGCTTCCGGCCATGCCGCCTCTGATCTGAACCTGCCGTGTGCCGCACCTCCACGCATCGCCGCCGTGCACCCCCCCCGCCTGGCCCCGCCGGGCGCCCGGGGCAGGGCGCGGCCCGGCGCCGCCGAGGGGGGGTAAGAGGTTTCCTCCCTCTTGCTTCCTCCTCCCTCCTCGTTCCTCCTCCTCCTCCGCCTCCTCCTCCTCCCGTCGCCTCTCTTCTCCTCCTCATCATCATCCTCCTACTCACTTCCTTCTCCTCCTCCGCCCGTCTCCTTTCTTCACCCCTTACTCATCCACTTTTTCCTCCTCTTCCACATCCTCCTTTGCCTCCTCCTCCACCTCCTCTCCTCCTCCTCCTGCTCCTGCCCTGCTCCTCTCCTCCTCCCCCCTCCTCCTCCTCCTCCTCTCCTCCTCCTTCCTCCTCCTCCTCCTCCTCCTCCTCTCCTCCTCCTCCTCCTCCTCCTCCCCCCATCCACCTCTTCCCCCTCCCTCCTTCTCCTCCTCCTCCTTCTCCTCCTCCTCCTCATCCTCCTCCTCCTCTCCTCCTCTCATCATCATCATCATCATCATCAACTGCATTATCATCATCAGCAGCATCACCGTCACCACCATCATTATCATCAGCAGCGTCATCATCAGCAGCATTATCAAGATCATCATAATTAACACCACCATCATTATCACCATCAGCATCAGCAGTTCAATCAGCAGCAGCAGCAGCATCATGAGCATCACCACCATCACCATCATCATCAGCACCACCATAATCGTTATCATCACCATCAGCAGCAGCAGCATCAGCATCACCATCCTCAGCATCATCAGCAGCAGCATCATCACCATCATCACCATCATCATCATCACTCATCATCATCATCATCATCATCATCATCATCATCATCATCATCATCATCATCATCATCATCAGCATCATCATCAGCAGCAGCAGCATCAGCAGCAGCATCCGTCTCCTCTCTCCCCCTCTTCTCCTCCTCCTCCTCCTCCTCCTCCTCCTCCTCCTCCTCCTCCTCCTCATCCTCCTCATCCTCCTCCTCCTCCTCCTCTCTTCCTCCTCCTTCTCCTCCACCTCATCCTTGTCCTCCTCGTCGCCACGGCTGCATTCGCAGCGGAGGTCTGGTCACAGCGCGTCCCGCGAGAGGTCCTGGGGATCCTCGGGGGGAGGGGGGAGGACGAGCCTCGGGGCGGACGCAGAAGGGAGGAAGAGATGAAGGGGCGATGAAGGGAGGAAGGGAAGAAGAGGGCGGGAGGGACGACGAAGGGGTGAAGGGCGGGAAGCGCCGCAGGTGGGGGAAGGAGGGGGGGAATGAGCCTCGGGGCGGATGCAAAAGGAGGGGGGGAGCCTCTAGATGAGCCTCGGGGTGGACGAAGAAGGCGGCGGGGGCTGCTGGGAAAGCCGAAGACCAGAGAACGGCACAGACATCAGTTCTTGGAGCCCTGCGGGGGAGTTCTCTGCTCGGCGCTGGGCCCCCCTTCCCGGCGCGCCGAAACAGGAGGAGTGTTATAGATAAAGGGGGAGGAGGAGGAGGAGGAGGAGGAGGAGAGGAGGAGGAGGAGGAGGAGGAGGAGGAGGAGGAGAGGGAGGAGGAGGGGGGAGAGGAGGCGGAGGAGGAGGGAGCAGGGAGCAGGGAGCAGGGAGGAGGGAGGAGGGAGGAGAGAGGAGGGAGCTCCGCGCGGATTTCTCGGATCTGCGCGGGAGCCCCCCCCTTGGCGGCGCCACCGGCGCCGCCCCTGCGGCGCGCGTCGCTCGCCTCAGGGAAGAGAGGACCCGGCGTCGATCCCGAGAAGTCTGCGCGGGCCTCCTCCTCCTCCTCCTCCTCCTCCTCCTCCTCCTCCTCCTCCTCCTCCTCCTCCTCCTCCTCCTCCGCCCCGAGAATCTGTGGCAGATTCGCTTGTGCCTCGGCTGACCTGCTCCGGCTTAGATGTTGGCCTGGCCTCGTTTTAGTAGCAGGACCCGATCCTGGAAATCGTGCGAATGGTGGTGCTGATGCTCGCGCACTGCCCGAGGAATGGCAGAGGAGGAGAATGAGGAGGGGGGGCGGAGGAGGCTGAGGCGGAGGACGATGAGGAGGAACAGTGCTGTTAGCAGTGACAGCATTGGGTTTCGGATCGAGGGTGTGTTTCCAGGCGCACGCTTGCGGCTCATCGACTGCGCGTTCGAGCTAACCGCAACGAGAAGGAGGATCAGGAGGAGGAGGAGGTAGTAAAGGGAATGAGCAGGAACGAGACAGAGAGAGAGTCGATGATGCAATCTCCGAATGCGGAAGCGACAGGCACGACCAGCTTCCTGAGCGTACAGGCGCTGTTCTGTACTGCCTTTGTGCATGACGTCTTTTAATGCAAGTTCGATTTTGTCAGGGCCAGACCAGCTCTCCCTTTGGCGTCGCTGGTCGCGCCCTGTACTCACGAGTTTCGCTGCCGAGGCCGGTCTGGAGCACCCTGTGGCAGCGAGCTGAGCTTCCTCCTCCTCCTCCTCCTCCTCGTTCCTTCCTTCCTTCCTTCCTTCCTTCCTTCCTTCCTTCCTTCCTATCTTCCTTCTATCCTTCCTTCCTCCCTCCTCAGACTACTGCTGAAGATGACTCCTTTCTGTACAGTGCTCTCGGCGGCGGCCGCGCCAATGCGGCAGCGTTCTGCACGGCCGCGGTGCCCCCCCCACTGCGTGGACCACCGTGGGCCGCTGCAGCTGACAAAATCCAAGCGGCGGCAGGTTCTCGGTGGGGCGTTGGAGGAGGAGGAGGAGGAGGAGGAGGAGGAGGAGGAGGAGGTGGAGGAGGAGGAGGAGGAGGAGAAGGAGGAGGCGGAGGCGGTAGAACAGCCGCTTGAGTCTGTCTGAGGGGGAGGAGGAGGAGGAGGCGGAGGAGGAGGAGGAGGAGGAGGAGGGAGAGGAGGAGGAGGAGGAGGAGGAGGAGGAGGAGAGCCTCGACAAGACGTTCGCCTAGCTTTAGATGGTTCCACATCGGCAAAACGACCACGGCCACGGCCACCGCCGGGAGTCAAGAGAGGCATCTGGAGCCCCAGGGGCGTTTTAGGCCCACCTGGGATCCGAATCCGATGGAGCGATTCAACAGGAGACTCGACCGCCAGATCCTCCTCGGGGGAGTGAGGATTTGGAGGAGGAGGAGGAGGAGGAGGAGAAGGAGGAGGAGGATGAGGATGAGGAGGAGGAGAAGGAGGAGGAAGAGGAGGAGGAGGAGGAGGAGGAGGAGTGTTTATAGATAAAGGGGAGGGGGAGGAGGAGGAGGAGGAGGAGAGGAGGAGGAGGAGGAGGAGGGAGCAGGGAGCAGGGAGAGGGAGGGGGGAGGAGGGAGGAGAGAGGAGGGATGAGGGATGAGAGAAGAGGGAGGAGGGAGGAGGGAGGAGGGAGGAGGGAGGAGGGAGAAGGGAGGAGGAGGTGGAGGAGGCGGAGGAGGAGGAGGAGGAGGAGACCACGCCGCTTCGGCCAAGTTGTTGCAGCGCAGACGGGCCATCTTCAAGGGGTAGGTTACACGTCGGTCGTTGGAAGTAGGTATTCTTGGATACCTAGAACCCAATATGCTTCGAGCGCCGTCCTAGTTCAAGAAGCGATATGCTTTTGCTGTGTGCCGCGATTCTCTGGGAGGGCCTGATCCCAACCAATCTGCTACATCCGCCTCCCTACTTGATGCTTTTTTTACCTACTTCTTCCGACTGGCGTGCATCTGTTCCCCACCTCCTGAAATGAGCTGTGGTGCAAACAGGTCCCCACACTGGACGCAGGTGGCCCAACTCGAGGTGCCCAGGCACGGCAAGGCGACGATGCTTTGCTCGGCCGCGCCGTCGCTGAGAGGCCAGGCCCGCAGGGCGGAGTTCCCGAGGAGGCTTCGCAGCCGACGGGAAGCCGAGCGAGCGCTTCCCGCGGCGCCAGCCCCAGACTTCCGACGATGGGATTTTCCGGTGCGCGGTCCCAGATCCTCGAGGGTATGAGAGCCCTTAACCCTAATAACAGAGTGAAGACGTGGCCTCATTGAGGTCCCCGTCGTCGCATCAGGGAGAAGACCCCCTGTCCCCAATGCTCCTGGCCCTCCTGACTGAGGTCCCCTCCCCAAGGCCTCTCGGGCACTCCTATTGCTTAGCGCCAGAGGTCCCGACTCCCGACCTCTCCCCTTGGGGTCCTTTTCTGTCCGGCACCCTTGTTCCACGGCCGATGTGGGTGATTTCCAAAAATGTGTTCATCTCTTGGGGGCGCAAGTTTTACTTCCGCCGCCTTCCGCAGCCCGTCCGCCGGCTTCCGCTGGCTGAGGCGGCCCCGTTTTATTGCCGCCGACCTTCAGCCGCCTTCCGCCGTGGAAGAGATGACAGCTCCTTCTATCCTTGAAAGCAAGGCCCTTTTTCTCGGAAAGGGTTTAGGCCCAGGGCTCTCTTCTAGTAGGTAAATCTGTCCCCGGTGCCACGCTTGAAGAGGGCCTTTGTGATCAATAACAAGGTCAAGTCCCATTCGGCGTGGACAAAATACGTTTCGCGCGTGCCCGCTCCAGGAAAGTGCGCCCCCCATCTCGGATCCTCGTTGCCTAATGGGGTCCGCGGACCCCCGTTTTCCATTGTAAAAAAGAGGGTGCGGAGCGTTTTGCGCTGCGCCGAATCCATATCAAATAACGAGGTATGGAGCCCCGACTGGGACACGAAACATGGGACAAAAACTTACTTTTTGCATGCCCACTCGAGGATGGCGCGTTCCGCGCGCAGGAATTTCGAGGATGTCTCGAGTCCTGCGCTTGTTTTGTAGAAGGAAGGTTGGCTTTTTGCGTGCCCGTTTGAGGATGGCGCACCGAATCTCTGAGGATGTCTCGGGCGAAACGCTTTTGTTGCAGCGCTTGAAAGGCTTGGGCGCTCCAGGATGCCCAGGTGGTTCTGGGAGTGCGGTCGGACCGTTACTTACAAAGGATCCTGGCCTTGGGAGCGCAGCTGCCGCGTCATGTGCGAAGGATCCTGGCCCTGGGAGCGCGGACGCAGCGTCATTGACGAGGGATCCTGGCCCTGGAGGCGCGAACCCAGCGCGATTCACCAGGGATCGTGGCCCTGGGAGCGTGGACACTGCGTCACTGACGAGGGAGCGCGGCCCCGGGAGCGTGGGCGCTGCGTCATTCACGAGGGAGCGCGGCCCTGGGAGCGCAGACGCAGCGTCGTTCGCGAGGGATCGTGGCCCTGGGAGAGCGGACGCAGCGCAATGTACACCTTAGGCGATGCTTAAGAAAACTTAAGTTTTCGGCCATTGTCTCGATTATTCTTAACGTTTCAATGTAACTCTCAAGATTTGTATGGAAATGTTGGGTTTTTATTCAAGTTCTGAGACTATGAATTTCTTAACCCATGATTTCTAAAGCATTTCGCAGGGTGTACGAGGGATCGTGGCCCAGGAAGAGCGGACGCAGCGTAGTTTGCGAGGGATCATGGCCCTGGGGGGGGGGGGGCGGACAACGTGTAATTTACGATGGATCCTGCCCCTGGGGGCGCGGACATAGCGTAATGGACGATCGGTTCGGCCAGGGCTCGGATGCAAGGGAGGACTCGATCCACAACGCTGTAGAGCACAGTCGCGGCATGGCACATCGCAAGTCAGCACGGCGCAGCACAGCACAGCCCGCGGCACGATTTATCAATATTGATACACTCAGCATTGCAACCTGGCACGTTGCTTAGCACGTCCCGTGGCACGTCCATTGGCACGTCCCGTAGCGCGTCCCCCTGGCACGTCCCGCAGTGCGTCCCCGTGGCACGTCCCTTGGCATGTCGCCTGGCGCGTCCCTTGGGACGTTCCGCGGCGCGTCCTCTTAGCATGTCCCCCTGTCAATTAGCTCTGGGACAGCAGCTACTATGTGCTGAGGCAGCTCGGGCTTAAGATCCAGATCAGTTCGGTCAGGACTCGGATGCAAAGGAGGACTCGATCCACAAAATTGTAGAGCACAATCGCGGCATGGCACATCGCAATTCAGCACGGCGCAGCACAGCACAGCCCTCGGCACGGTACATCAAGATCGATACACTCAGCATTGCAACTTGGCACGTTCTTTGGCACGTTCCGTGGCGCGTCCCGTGGCGAGTTCTCCTGGCACGTCGCGCGGCGCGTCCCCTGGCACGTCCCGTGGCACGGTCATTGGCACGGTCCGTAGCGCGTCCCCTTGGCACGTCCCGCGGTGCGTCCCCGTGGCACGTTCCTTGGCATGTCGCCTGGCGCGTCCCTTGGGTCGTTCCGCGGCGCGTCCTCCTGGCATGTTTCCCTGTCAGTTAGCTCTGGGGCAGTTACTATGTGCTGAGGCAGCTCGAGCTTAAGATCCAGATCAGTTCGGTCAGGTCGCGGATGCAAAGGAGGACTCGATCCACAACGCTATAGAGCACAATCGCGGCATGGCACATCGCAATTCAGCACGGCGCAGCACAGCACAGCCCTCGGCACGATTTATCAATATTGATACACTCAGCATTGCGTTTGCCCGTCGCCCAATCAGGTGTATTGGAAACTTTACCATCCATTACATGTCTATATTTCTCTTTCCGGGTTCGTGGGTCGATCATGTTGGAACGCCCCGTGTGCACGACGACGGGCCAGAGGCCGACAATAGGGGAACAAAAAGTGACACAAACATGAAAACTCGGAGGTCCGCGCGGAGTTCTCGGATCGGCGCTGGACCCCCCTCCCTGGCGCGCGGAGCGCGCCAGGGGCGGCGCCGGAGGCGCCGCCGGGGGGGCCCCAGCGCCGATCCGAGAAATCCGCGCGGACCTCGGAGTTTTTTGGTGTTTCTGACACTTTTTGTTCCCCTCGACAGACAGAGGATAATCGCCAGGATGGCGCAGAAGATCACGTCGGAGATCTGGGCATGCTGCGCCAGGGCCCTTCGCGCAGAGGCAGCCGGGTCGCTGAAGGGCGCGCGCCCCCCGGGCAGCCTCGGGGGGCCTTGGGGCGCCGGGGCCTCCCGGAGCGAGGGGGGCCTTCGGCGACGAGCGACGAGGGAGCGAGGGGAAGTCCCCTTTTCGGCCTTCCGAGAAGTTGTCCAAGCCTTCCCCGAAGG